AGAATGAATCACATGAATCAATGTTTCTCTTTCACGTGTTCAGTTCACACGATGCCTTCTCACATTTCTCTCTCGCTCGCAGCTTCGCCATCTTCCCTGGCTCTTGCTTCTCAGTTTTTTCTCTTATTGCGGAGGAACCAAATATGCAATGTTTGTTTTTTTGGTTGTTGAAATGGTTCGTGGTTTACATATGGTGTAACGCAAGCGGCGGCCACGACAGTTTGTTTGTGATGGTAGAAATCAATTGTTGGGTGAGAAAGCAAAGAAACATCGGTGCGTGACTCGGTTTCAAAGAACCAAATTCTTTTTTTTTCAATTCTTATTTTTTTTTTCTGTTTATCAATTTGTTGTTGTGTTGAAGGTGTTCAATTTACGGTCGTGGCTTGTGTGGCGAGTTGTGGTGGAGGGAAGGAAACGCTTGGTGGAAAGAAACATTGTATGAGGATATTTGTTGGGTGAAGCTTATGGTAGGCATGTAAGGTTATGGTATAACAGCAGCAAGGGGAAGAGAGGAAGTTCCATGGTGCTACCTTGATGTGGGAAGATTGGATGGCTGTTGAATGAAGGTTTTGTGCAGAGTGTTTTGAAAGGTGTTTATTGATTTCTTCCCCCTCAAGAATCATTCTCTACCCCCCCCCCCTTTTAAAGCCAAATAACAAACTTCTTTCTTAAGCTTTTGGTTCTTGTTTGGTATTGATATCTTATCACTTTCATGTTGCATGTTGTCTGTTATCGGTCTTGCTTGTGTCGCTGTTGTTTGGTGCTTCATGGTGTAGGCTAGCGTGTTGTATGGTTTGTCTTTGGTTGGAGTGTTGTATGTTATGCTCAAGTTTGTAGCAGGCTGGTATAATTAGTGTCGTGTTTGACTTGGCTGTGCAAGTTGTTGCGAAGGCTTCTGTTGTTTGTGTAGGTATTGTACGGTTTGTAAGGTGTGATGAGATGGTTTTGGCTTTGTTGTATCAGCTACCATGTTTGTTTTGGTTGTGGGGCATGTTGGTTTTACGGAAGTGACAAGTTGTGTTTTGGATCCATGAGTTCAAATTTTCTTTCCATTTTTTGTGTGTGATGTAAATGGGCTCCTTGATTGTAACTTGGAATTGGGCCTTTGCTGATTTTTTTTTTTGAATTTTGTAGCGTAATGGATTGGAACATGGATTTTTTGTAATGTGAAATGGACTTTGGTATATGAATATGAATTAAAAAAAATAGACATTTGGGTATAATTTGGAATGTGATTTTTAAAGAATGGATATTGAATATTGGAAATTGGAAGTTAAACAAAATAGATTGTTATGGATATTATGGACATTGAATGGATGGATAATTGAATGAATAATAAATGGAAAATGGGTATGAGTAATGGTAATGCGTCTCCACACTTGAACAACACCTAAAACCTTAATAATTGAACCTGAATGCCATTAATCTTGAATGACATCACAACCTTAAATCAATCTTAGAATGATCTTGATTTGAACGACAAACTTGACGAATCCTTAGATTAATGACGAGAACCTGAACCACACAATCAGTATTTGCAAATAACCTGAAATATACCAACTACCTTGACCTTTAGTGAATTTGCAACTTGACTTCAACAGACAACTTGAATTGACACGAAACCATGATTTAATGATCTTCAAATATAAAGTACTGATCTATGCCAAATTCAACTTGAGAATGAAACAATCTCCTCTTTCTTGTCCAAGATCAGATCACACCAAACTGAAATAAAACAATACTACACACATACTTGGCCTGATATCCTCAAATGAAACTCAATTGAACGACACTTGCCTATCTTTAACACAAAGGAGTGAGAAACCCTAATCTTCTTGTCTTGGACGCATACTGATGAAGCAATGACTTATGAAGTTGGCGAGAACCAAAACCCTAATCCAAAATCTTTTCAGTTAGGTCACTGATGAAATCCTAAATATCTGATACCCTTGAAGAGACTTACATTTCTTGTCCAAGATCAGATCACACCAAACTGAAATAAAACAATACTACACACATACTTGGCCTGATATCCTCAAATGAAACTCAATTGAACGACACTTGCCTATCTTTAACACAAAGGAGTGAGAAACCCTAATCTTCTTGTCTTGGACACATACTGATGAAGCAATGACTTATGAAGTTGGCGAGAACCAAAACCCTAATCCAAAATCTTTTCAGTTAGGTCACTGATGAAATCCTAAATATCTGATACCCTTGAAGAGACTTACAGAAGATAACATGGTGCCTTGGTGAACCTCTGATACAAAAATGTCCATGATGATGAAAGTCCAACACCTTGTTTCAAACTTGAGTATAATAACCAAATGGAAACATCTTTGAATATGAGACATCTAAATCAACAGAAAATCTCTGATCACATGTCTCAAGAACCTGATGAAATGCATGTAAAGTGAAAATAAAGTTACAAGAATGCAAATTCAAAGTATCTAGTCAAATTTTAGGATATGACAGAGAGTTAGAGAAAAAACAAGATTTCAATTTTCAACCTAATCGTCTCATTTGTATTTGAAAAAAAAATCAACTATTTAGAATTATTAGTAGATGTTTTGATTAATTTTCAAAGTTTGATAACAATAGGTTAGTGATAAAGTTTCCTTGGCAAGTAGAAACTGTGATATTTTTGAATGAACGAGGGGTTTCAAGTTTCAACTAATTAGAATTTTTGTTATAAAGTTTAAATTTTTTTATCATTTACTATTTCAAGTTTCAACTAATTAGAATTTTTGTTATAAAGTTTAACTATTTTTATCATTTACTATTTATTATCCGATATTTTTAATTTTAAAATGTTTTCTAAAATTATTTTAACATGAATATTTTTTTAAATAATAAAAAATTGTTTCAGTTAATAACAATAATTAATTTATTCAATTGCCAACGTGATTGATTTTTTTTTGATAAGTCTCAAAATTCAACATATCTAAATTATTTATAGTAAAAAAACATATAGACTAAGAACGATAAAACAAAAAAATTATATAAAGGATTAGTAAAGATTTAAAATGAATAAAAGATAAATAAAAAAATATTTCATAAAAATTAAATAACAGAAAATAAAAATAAAAATATCTCCCTACTTGAAACTCAAAATAAAAAAATAAAAAAAACACAAACACATCATCATCTTACCTCAATCACATGATTTTAGGGATTTTAGGGGTGTTTATTATTTATATTTATTGATATCCAATCCATATCTGCTTAAAAACCCGTTAAAACGGTTTGGATTTCAAACTAAATTATTAAAACCTGTTAAAAAATTAAGCCAAATTTAAATCCGATTAAAATATCAAAAATCCGTTTTCAACATTAACCATAAGTCCATAACAATAATAAGAACCTTTGAACCTTTAAACCACTTGCAGAGTCACCACCACCGTCGTGAGAGGAGGTTCAGTCGCCGCCGCTACCGTATGTTCAATCAACATTTCTTCACGCGCTAATTGGTTTTTCTGATGTCCTCGTTGTGCGTTGTTTTGACATAGAAAATTTACGATCTACTTCCGTTCGTAGAGGATTTGCGCCGCCGCCGTTCATAGAAGCACTTTCGCCGTCGTAGATCTGGAATTTCAATCTACGGTTGAAAAACCATAACACTGAATCTCCCTTGCACACATCAATTACTCTTCTGCCCCCAAATTGCCAACCTGATATAGCTGCTCCCACAACTGCATAGCTGAGTCCGTTGCTCGAGAACTGCTGAATCACCATTGTAAGTCTTTAATACTATCTCTGTGTATATATCTTTGTATCCATCGTTCTGTGTCAATGTTGTTGTTTTTTTCTCTCACCAAACCCTTGACCCTTGGCTCTCCGAAACCCTAATTTTTTTGGTTACAATTTTATTAATGTTATTGTGTATGAAACTTTTCCGCTATTGAAAGCATTCTAATAAGCTTTAATAAGTCTTTCTAAACTAGTTGTTTGATTGTTTGAATATAAGATTAATATTACTAGTTTGGATGTTGATTTTAGCTTCTTAGTTGTATCATCACTGATTAGTAACATTGTAGGGCTGTGAGCCATTTCTTACAGTTGTGTAGTTCTATGATTAATAATAACTGAATGGGAAGTCCATTTTTTTTTTCTTTTGATTTGTTATTGGCAAAATCATGTTTAATCTTCTTCTGAGGTGTGCTTAGTTATTGGCAAACGCGTTTTTGAATCCTGGCTGGCTACAAACAGGGTGTGCTTAGTTTATGGTGCTTATTTCTACACATGGCTGTTTAAACAAACTATGTCCCTTTAGTTTGATGTTGTTGGTTTTGTGGATTTTATCTCTATTATTCTTGTTTAAGTTTGGTACTGCCTAGATTTTATTAGAGTGCACCATTATGAGGTTCATGCTTTGAGTTAGTGTAATAGAGTAGTTTGGTTTGAATTGTTTTTATTGTGTTTCTCACAAGTTGTTTTATTAGGTTCATTAACTATGGCTTCAATTGTCACTAGTTGAAATGCTTTTGTTGAAAATGGTTGTTTATTCATTTCCTCTGATATTTAATTGGTTCTTGTTCACTAGTTTTTTTCCATGTGATCACATATATCTATACACACATCATTTTTAATTTAGTTCACATTCAATTTTATTCCATCTGGTTATAATGTTTGTTCAAAGCGATGTTTAAAAGAAGTACAACAATTTTAGAAAGACAATAAGAGATCTTAACATATTAGTAGAACCTAAGATGCATGCATATAAGAATACCAGTATCTGATTGGGAATTGTTTGATTTGTTTGAAAAGGTACTCAGTTTTTTTCTTTGCTCTTACATTTCGATGGTGAAAGAGAGACTTCGGGCAGAAACTTCAGTTTTAATTTATTTTTGGATTTCTGATTTTATTTACCAAATAATTCAATTTGAGTCTAAACTTTGGGTTTAGCTATTAGACATAATTGACGCCCTCTACATTATTATCCTGACTCTAGTCTTATTTCTCATTTTGATTCCAATTTTTATTTGTGACAGTTTTTTAGCATGGATAATTCTGATGCCAAATCTGCTGAAAATCAGCAAACTGAACAAGGTATGTATAGTTTGTTGCATTAGAGTAATATTCTTTGTTATTTAAGTCCCTCTGCATTTTTTTGGTACCATATTTAATTTTCTTTTCTATATGTTTGTTTATTTTCAGTTTGTAGTTTCTTCAGAAAACCGGTTAATAAGAAGAACATCAGGAAACGTACTATTGATAATGAAGATAATGATGATGACTCGAACAATGAAGGCTCTTTGATGCATGTTCAGAAAAAGACCACAAAGCCCGACAATAAGTTGTTCTTTTCCTCCGGCTCTTCAAAAAGCTCTGCATCTACTGAACCGAATGAAGAATCTGAGAAACACGGCTTCCATTTTGAGTCTTCCAAAGAGATTCAAGTTCAACATGATAGCAAAGCAACTGCAACTTTGGAGACTGAGACTGATTTTTCGAAAGATGCTCGTGCCATTCGTGAAAGAGCTCTTAAGCAAGCGTCGGAGAGTCTCAAGGGAAAGGGAACTGGCTCAGAGGATGGAAAATTATACAAGGGAATCAATTATTACAAAGATCATAAGGCTGGATTTCGTAGAGAGCACACAATTGCCGGTGAAAAGGCTGGTGGGTCACACGGTCCTCTCAGGGCTTCGTCTCACATACGAGTTTCGGCAAGATTTGATTATCAGCCTGATATATGCAAGGATTATAAGGAAACTGGTTACTGTGGGTATGGCGATTCATGTAAGTTTATGCATGATCGAGGTGATTACAAATCTGGGTGGCAGATGGAGAAGGAATGGGAAGAAGCTGAGAAATCAAGGAGGATGAGATTGGCTGCAGGTGAGGATGCGGAAGAGGAGGGTGCTAATGTGAACGATGAAGATGATTCCGACGATGATTCATTGCCATTTGCATGTTTCATTTGTAGAAATCCATTTGTGGATCCTGTTTCAACCAAGTGCAAACACTATTTCTGTGAGCATTGTGCATTGAAGGTACACCCTTAACATTGTTGCAAATAAGTTAAAATTTATTATAACAGTTTCAAGTTTATTTAGTAATGCTTAATTCCTTGTGCATTGAAGGTACACCCTCAACATTGTTGCAAATAAGTTAAAATTTATTATAACAGTTTCAAGTTTATTTAGTAATGCTTAATTCCTTTGTCCTTTAATTATGTCTGACTAACTTTCTGTTCGTTTTACTTGCAGCATCATGCAAAGAATAAGAAGTGTTTTGTATGCAACCAGCCAACACTTGGCATTTTTAATGTTGCTCATGAGATACGAAAGAAGATGGCTGAGGATAATAAATAAACACATCCAATACTATCCGTTTATATCTTTGCTTCTTGGAGGTTATCTTTATTTTTTCTCTTTCTCTTGTTTTCCCATTTAACTTTGTCAAACTGGAGATGCTATGTAATGAGCTGAAAACATATATTCCTTACGCCCATAGGTCCTATCATTTTTGCATCTATCTTACTAATAGATCCCAGAATATATATAATAGTGAGAGAATTGAATATGTTTAAAATAGGCCATTTTGGTATATGTTGTAGTTCTTGTTGTAGTGTAACTCATTTTAATTCTAAAAAGTAGAGTTTCTAACTTTTCTAATCTTCCTGTAGAGGATGGCAAAAGATTCTTAAATATTTTGGTTGTTCATCATACATTCAATGTTATTTAGCAGTGTAGGGATTAAGATGAAGGAAAGAACTTAAAAGCTTGGACACTAATGCCAAACATTCTTGTATGGCTCATGCTCAAGAAATGCTATATTCTTTTCCCTTGATACTTTGCTAACTCATTTAACTTCTGTAATGCTTATATTCCTAGTTAGCCATATATAAACTCAAAACGTTAACCTTTTCCCACCTTTAAACTTACAAGCTTGCTGCTACACCATTTACTGATAGCTTCAACTTATTCTCTCGGTTATCATACAATTTTTGTTGAATGGCGTGGGAAGATGGCAGGGGTTTCTATATATGGCTGTTGCAATTTATATGCCTCTTAGGCCTTCTTGTTCTTGGCCTATGGCTATCCTTGCGACCGAATAACCCCTCCTTCTCCATCACGTTAGTCTCCATAGATTGTCTATCAGATCAAAACGACACAATCTTTTATACCCTTGAAATCGATAACCCAAACAAGGACTCAAGCATTTACTATGACGACATAATATTGAGTTTCCTATTCGGGCAGCCAGAAGACAAAGTGGGAGAGACAACTATAGGTTCATTTCATCAAGGAACCAATAAGAACCGCATTGTATCTGGCGTTATTACTGGCAAACCTGGACCATTCAAACCTCTCTTCAAGGCCATATCAAACGCAACCGCAGAGTTGAAGGCTTCCCTTATGACAAGATATCGATGCAAGACATGGGGAATTAAAAGCAAGTTTCATAAATTACACTTGAATGGTATTCTGCCAATTGATTCTGATGGTAAGCTTTCACGTAAAAAGAAAAAGTACCCACTTAGTCGTAATTCCAAAAAATTGGGAAGGTCCAAAGTAAAGAAGCACTGATCTCATATCCTTCACTGTATTTTGGTTGGCCTTTTTTCTCTCTCTTCTATATCCATCATTTTTTTCTTATTTATCAGTGAGGATTTTTCTTCTTTCTATTGGTTTGGTTCATGGTAGTTTCTTCTATCTAACAGACTAGTTTTTCTAGCATCTAGTATGTGTAAACTAGATATGCAGACATTAAAGAATTCAGTATTTTGTGCTTTTCTTTGCTTCCTTGCTAATGAATAATTAGTATTCATGTAATGATGTGTTTAATAAAAACTAAAATTTAGCAATGAAACAGTTCACAAGATATTGAATTATGTTTTTGGAGTTCGTGTTGATCTTTTACACGGCGTTAGAAAATCCGTTGGGAATTATAGCAGCACCAAATTGCTTCGTGAATCAACCAGGCATGCTATTCAACCAATTGTACGTTAAGAACTTGTTCTTTTCACCAAACAAGCATTTAGGTATAAAATTAGCCATACCACAAGCTATCTACTGAGACAGTTCTCACAACCAAACTTAATTGAGAGTTTTATTTTTTAAATTTGTTAAATCCTTTAGGCTCACTTAATTTTTTTTCCAGCGTTTTAGGCCCAATCATTTGGTTTTCAGTCTCTTAGGCCCATTAACTACTTTCCTAGTTTGTTATGAGTTGGTTAGGAAAGTTTGTTATGCCAATGTATTTTCTTTCTTTAGTTGTGTTAAATCTATTTGTATATAGGATGAGACTTATAACTTTACCTTGTAATTAAAATGCTAATCTCATAATGAAGGGTTTTCTCCAATTTTTGTCTCCATTTTTGTACTCTATATACCTACTCTTAATATGGTATCCGAGCATGTTCTGGTAGCTATTGTTATTGTTATTCTTCTTCTTCAATCTTTCTCCTTTTCCCATTAATCTTTCTATTACTAACTTGAGCTGTTATGATTTTTTCACTAATTCCGCTTTACCTTCACCCTAATGGAAATCTAGCCATTGTTCTGGTTTCAGCACCTCTTGATGCCAAGAAGTATCTCACATGGTTTAGTTTGATGGAGACTTCTCTCATTCCAAAGAATAAACAACATTTAATTGATGAAATTCTTCCAACGCCACTTCATAATGATTCGCCGCACGCCCTTTGGACAAGATGCAACATGATGATTCTTGCATGGTTTTTTCGCTCAATCTCTGAACCAATTGCAAAACTCTTGCTTTGGGTTAACGTTGCTGCTGGTGTTTAGGTGAATTTGCGCACAATTTTTTTTTTTTTGCATTTTTGATATTCAAGAATATCTCTAAATTTTGGCAAGGTAAACTACAATATCACTTTTCCTTATGTCCAAAGGTATCATGCACCGAAAATCATGTCTTGAAACTCTCCAATAGAATGGTGCAGTGGAGAGAAAGCAGCAACACATTCTTAATGTAGCCAAGTTCCTTCATTTTCATTCCAATACACCAATCCATGAGAAAGCTTTGTGTCCAACATATTATCCACAATACCAATAGACTGCCTAATCCTCTTCTCAAATAAAAAACCCTTATGAATTTCTTTTTAAAAATCTTCCTTTCCTATATGCATCCTAAGATTTTTGGTTGCTTATGTTATGCAACAATTATCCAAACCCATCCAATCAAATTTAACTCTAGGACCAGAAAATTAATATTTATAGGTTATAAGAAAGGTACAAATGGCTTTAATCTTTGACCTGTCCAATCATGAATTTTTTATTTAAAAAATGTTATTTTTTACAAGTCCTTCTTTCTATTTAAATACTTTACCAAGTCCCAATCACTACTGACCATCAATTTAAACCTGCCTAGCCCAACCTGTATTCTTGATGCCATTTTTAGAATTTTTTTCTCCTCTACAGTGTTATTATAATTTTTTTTTCATAATACCATCATTTTTAATAAATATACTATAATGTCATATTTTCAAAAAACTGTGTTTTTGATACAAGGCTGCCGCCCTTTTAATAGGCGGAAGAGTTAATTAATAGGTGGAAGAGTTAAAATGTTAAAAAGTACCACCTTTTTAATGGGCGGCAGTGTATAAAAATTTGGACATTGCCTCCTTTGCAATGAGTGGCAGAGTATATTTTTAAAATGCGCCGCTTTTTTAATAGACGACAATGCTTACGTGTCATTTTTTTTTGAAACTATGGTAATATAATATATATAATTGAAATGTGTAACAAAAAAATACTTAATGTTTAATAATATGGTAGTACCACCTAATGTACCTCAAGCAAATGACTTAGCCTACTTCACCACCTAATGACTTACCTATGCCAGCTAATTCATATGAACCACATACACCAATCTAGTCTGCTACATCAGTTTAATCAGTGTTTTAAAAACCGGACCGATCATTGAACCGGTGAGGATACCGGGTCACTGGTTTATCGGTTGAATCACTGGGTCACTGGTCGAACCGCATGACTAAATCGAATTAAACCGGATAACTCGGTTGAATAGACCTGTCATTATATAGATATAAAACCGGTCGAACCGGATGATTCAGTTTCTAAACAAATATAACTAGTACTTAAATTTTTTGAAAATATCATATCATAAACTCACAAGTTCATAATTTAAATTTAAATTTTAAACAAATGTATCACACATAACAAAATAATACAAAATTACAAAATAATTGCAACATAATCTAATTTTAAACAATTTTTTTTTAATTTTTATAACTTTTGTATTTAAATTTTAATTAAAAAATAAAAAATGCATTAGAACCGGTCCAACCTTAAACCCGATTTTTCTCGGTCCAACCCGGTTTTTTCCGATTTTTACCAGTTTGATTACACAGACGATCGAACTAGTAAATCAGACCGGTTACTAGGCCGGTTCCCGGTCCAACCGGTCCGACCGGCCGGTCCAGTTTTTAAAACGCTGAGTTTAACTCTATTTCCCTTATCACACATAATGATATTTCGTTGTTTGGTCCATCACTATCCGAACCTGTCCAACCTTTACCACTGCCTTCAAACACCAACCACCTCACCAATCTTATAATGTGTCTTAACATATTAAAATTGTTCTCAACCATATATAAACTTATGTTATTCAACCTCCTCTCAAATAACAACAAGTCTTATCCTATTAAGTGAGGTTAGCTACACAAACTAACTTTTGTCATAATGTTCTATCTAAAACCATATTTCTATCCAAATCTTTAATATTGAAATCTTTCTTAATAACTTCTCTTATAGATCTTTCTCTTCTTTTAGAATCTACTCCTTTTACAACAAAATCTATATGTCTTTTCTCTACACGTCAAAACTAAATATATTTTTCACCATCTTCCTTACTATAGGCGCTACCCCAACACCCTTTATAATATTTTCATTTCTAATTATATCATGTTTAGTCTTATCACATATCCAACATAACATTGTTGTCATCTATGCTACACTTGTTATTCGTAACCGCCAAATATTTCATTCCGCATAACATGGCAGGTGACTGCAGTTTGGTAAAAATCCTCCTTTAACTTGAGTGATACCTTTGCGCCACATAAAACACCTAAAATCCTTCTTCATTCCAGTCACCCAACTTGAATTCGATGATTTATATCCCTTTCTACTTCTCCATCATTGTGTATTACGGATCCAAGATATTTGAACCGTATGACATAAGTGATGATAAAGTCTCCAATTTTCACCTTTATGTTAGAAACATTTTTTCTTTGGTTAAATTCACATTCCACATACTCTGTCTTACTTTTACTTAGGTGAAAATCATACGTTTATAAAACTCATCTCCAAATTTTCAACCTCTCATTTAAATCCCCGTCGACTTTTTAAATGGGACTATATCATCTGCAAAAACATTATTGGAAAACATTTAATACATGCTCTTGCTGACCACCATACTTGGTCTCTGGTTGATTTACCACCAGGAAAGAGTTTCCAAAGAATACACACAACTTGAAAGCCTTGATTATTTTGACACATTCTTTCTTGTGGAAAAAACTACAACCATTAGAAACCTTTTTTCCATAGTTTCAATCAAAGGTTGACACTTAACACAATTGAATGTCAACAATGCTTTCTCACATGGTAACCTCCAAGAAGAAATTTACACGACCCTTCCTTCTTGCTACTTTGCATCATCTTCTTCTAAAGTATACAAGCTCCATAAATTCATTTATGGTTTGAAGCAAACAAGCAGACAATGTTTCTCAAAGCATTCTTCCTTTTTGATCTCTATTGGTTTTTCATAGTCTAAAGCTAACCATTTCCTCTACACCAAATACATTCCCTCCAGTTTCACTACCTTACTAATCTATGTGTATGTTCTCTTGGCTGGTAACTCCCTCAATGAAATAACATTTGTCAAAAAGGCCTTAAACACCAAATTCAAAATCAAAGACCTGGGTCAATTGAGATACATCTTGGGTTTTGATTGCAAGAACTACCTCGAGTATATTCTTCAATAAGAGACATTATGCCTTTGAGTTATAACAAGAGACATGGCATCTTGCTTATAAACCCTCCTCCACTTCTTTTGATCCTTTCACTCAAACTCTCTACATGCACAAATGATTTAGGATCTATTCATGTAAACTTGAGACTTTAGATAATATAACTTCGTACAAAGTTAATTTATTTATATAATACACTGCTATTATTATTGATTCAAGTCACACTTCTACTCTACATGGAATCATCAACATTCATTTCTATAAAATTCAAAACTCTTCACCACGAAGAGCTCTAAGAACCCTTGAACGAGGAGCATCAGGGTCCCCATGCATCGCTCTCTGCCGCCACATCTCAGCAGTCCTCAACAGCGTCTCCTCCGCTGTTTCAAGCTGTTCCGGCAACCAACTAATCACATCTCCACCTTGTCCAGAATCCGCAGTTCCGTGCATAACACGAGTCGCGGGCTTTCTTGTGTCCGCAAACTCCAATTCCGATAACGGAGACGCCTTATGATGCTTATAGTAATCTTTGTAATCCTCCTGTTGTTCCTGTCGGCTCTTATCTTTTTCTTCTGGCCATGG